CTGGTTCTAGGGGTGGAAATACAGTACAGGCCAAAAGTTTGGACACACCTTCTCATTCAATGCATTTGATTTCAATGCATGTGTTCATTCATAGTTTTGATGCCTTCAGTGAGAATCTACAATGTAAATAGTCATGAAAATAAAGAAAACGCATTGAATGAGAAGGTGTGTCCAAACTTTTGGCCTGTACTGTATGTTGCAATATGCTGAGTAATTGCAATAAAATATATTGCGATATACTGCAATTTATTACCTCTATTCAACAGTGAATTATGTCCCCAAAGGAAAACTGACTGTCATCATCTGTTTTATCTTATAAGATAAAGTCGGTTCATCTCACCTCAGCCATTTTTTTGCAGCAGTAAAATGTATCTAGTGGACTGAAAAAACAACTGATTACATTTTCCTAGTAGGCTACCTAAAGATGAATTTGTATTTGTCATATTACAGTCATAAATTATTATTTCAAGTCACCTCGGCTACTGTAAAGTAATTTTTACTGGCCTCCCAAAAAACACGAGGGAGCGAGCTACATTGCTAACTCCCTTGTTAACTATTTGCCTCCAAGAACACTGCCATCATCTGCTGCTGGTGTACTGGAAGTTCCCAGCAACAGCCGGAAGAAGATCAGGGATGCAGCCTTGGATAATAACGCCCCAAAGCTATGGAACACACTACCTATAGATATCAGGAAAGCTAGCTCGCTAAATATTTTTTATTTTGATTTTTTTCTCTGGTCATCTGCTCCAGGCACTCTACTGCAAGTGTTTGGATTACACAACCTACACTGCTACATGTAGCTGCATGCTAATGTCAGGGAAACCTGTGGTTCTGGTTGTAGATGTTGTAATTATCTGCCTGATTTCAGGTCAGATTCCTGCTAACCCTTTGTGAAGATTCTGGTTTAGATGCTTTTATCGTTGATTTTTCAGGGTAGGAAGTGCCGCTATACTACGTTACAGTTATTCCCCTTCTGCTGTGAGAGTGCACAGATGCCAACATACGCAAGACCCAGAAGAATTGACCACTCAGAGCAGACTGGGCTTTGTCAGGAGGGAGGCTTAAAAAGAGAGACGCTAAAATGGAGGGTGAATACAAGTGTTCCACCGCAGATAATTTGAATTGAATGAGCATAATAGGTCTTCTTTAATTTCTCATTGCAAATTAACATTTTAAGATATTTTTAGACAGTGAAAAAAGACAGTCTAAGATTACTGATTTCTTTCCATGCTTTTTTCCTGATAATTTATTCTTAAGAAAACTGTGTCTCTCAATAGGCATTTATGCATATATGCAGTATGCTGACACGTTAAAGTGTACTTTCAAAAATATATTTATTTCTTCTTGGATTTCATGAATATAACTCATTCATTCATTCATTTTCCGTAACCACTTATCCAGTTAGGGGTCACGGGGGGCTGGAGCCTATCCCAGCTGACATTGGACGAGAGGCAGGGTACACCCTGGACAGGGCGCCAGACTATCACAGGGCTGACACATAGAGACAGACAACCATTCACACTCACATTCACACCTACAGGCAATTTAGAGTCACCAATTAACCTGCATGTCTTTGGACTGTGGGAGGAAGCTGGAGTTCCCGGAGAAAACCCACGCTGACACATGGAGAACATGCAAACTCCTCAGACAAGGGCTCCCTTGAAACGTGAATAATGGTGTGATGGGGGGGGGGGTGTCAGAATAAGAATTTCTGGTGAGATGGGACCTCAGCAGGCAGGAGGACATGCGGTCTGACCCAGAAAACCTAACGCCAAGCAAGAGCAAAAAATACATTCATCACCTGAACTTATTCTTTTTCTTTAGAGTTTCTACTTAAGCTAGTTTCTGACTTTAGATGTCCACCTCTGGTACCTTGGGCCGAATAATTTTTATAACACAAAAACCCCCCCTGAGAATCCCACTCTGTCATTCAAAGAGAAAGCAAAGATAGAAAATACATAGCCAGGAAATGTCTTGGGTTTTTTTCACATTTAAAAAAAAAAAACTCCCAGCAGGTCACAAACTCCACACACAGACACACACGCTGAAGTGTTTCACTTAGCTGCTAAAAGGCTTTTCTGAGGCTTTGTGCAGTGCTAGCCTCTGGGTTTGATGGCAGTGATAGGGGGCGAATGGGAAGGCTAGAGGAGGATCGGGGGATAAATGGGATGCCTGCCACCTTGCTGATATCACTGCAATCTTCCGCAAACAGTCTGACACGCACGCAAACACGCACACGGCTGGGAACTCAAGGACACTTTTTACACAGACACACACACACAAACGCACCTATGTATGCTCTAACACAACATCCGAGGCATGCAGTCAAAAACAAACACAGCTTTTCACAGACTTTAACCCACTTTTCAAAGTGGCAGGTCAAGGCTGTTGAAGCTTACACAATCACACACACATACAGGAGGTCGACACACTTAAAGCAACACCTCCAGTTTGTACTATAATGTGATCTAACATTTCTGCAATAGAATGGCCGACTACTTTTTGTTGAGACTGTGTCAGAACAGACATGTCCTGTGATTTTCAGCCTTATATGACTATATTTACCCTGTACAGCAGGCACATCCTGACAGCTGAGAATATTACTGTCAGGTATTGTCCCCCCTGTATTAAATACAAAAGGAGGCTGAAAATCACAGGACATGTCTGTTCTGATGATACAAGTCAGCGGTGTTTCTCTTCTATAATACACATTCTACATCTCAGAGGAGACGCCTTTGCACCCACGGGCTTCCTTCGCCTTTCAAACAGGGCAGAGCTCCGTGGGAAACAGTGGGAGAGACACAGCCCGAGGGGGAACCGGGATCTGACAGCAGATCCGTGGAGCTATGCGCCGGACCAAAAAACAAGCGCATTGCAGAGAATGCGCTCCGCTACGGCATCGCTTTGGGTTTAGAGCGTGCATGACGTGCGTCTACATTGAAAGTAATGGGTTTGTGCATGCAAAAGACGCTACATCTGAACGCCCCCCATGCACACACAAACACACACACGCTTTAACCAAGGTGGCGGCCAAAATCACCCAGGTGGACCGGCTTTGTCTTAGATAGGCAGGGAAAACCCTGATATATAACAATTAAATAAATAAAAGTCATTCAAATTTTGAGGGCGTGAACATTATGTATTTTTACAGACAATTTTCAGTCAAAGGGTGTCAATATTTGGGCGGACATTTTACAATTGTATAGTAACATATGACATGGGTTCTTCATCTACATCTTAAAGAGATCCCGTACACTCTGTCTAACTCCCTCACGCCTGACTTGTGCGTGCAACGTCACCAGGGACTCGACACACCCCCACCATGGACTGTTCTCCCTGCTGGCCTCTGGCAAGAGGTACCACAGCATCAGGAGCAGAACAGTCAGGTTTTGCAATAGCTTCATCCCCCAAGCCATCAGACTTTTGAACTCCATAAGATGATTATCCTCTTACACACCACCAACTACATTGAACCCAGTCAATAACCCCCTTCTCACACTCTCACTGATCTCTAGTCTGAGCTCCATGGAACTGTATTAGTTTATGCATTTTTTTTATTTATGTATTTTTATATCCATCATTTGCACTAGCAGTTTAGCTACTGATGTTTAGTTTGATCCATATTTTATTCAGAGAATGGAATTTCGTTCTTATGTGCACCTGTTGACGGTGTGGAATTGAATGATGATAAAGTCTATCTATCTATCCATCAAGGTTTCTAAAATCTGAGGACCCTTTATTGAATATATCAAAAGCATTATGAGTCAGGCTGACTAACCACATTAGACTGCTTCTTTGCATCGGCTGTACACTGTGCTTCAATCTGCCAGGACGCTAGGTCTCCGTTGGACCTTCCTGACCACCCAAGGCCTTTACTTCAAGGATGCTATCTTTCAGCCTCAACCTTCCTGTGCACTACCTACGCATGGTTTGACCTGGCACATAATTGTACTTTCTTTCCTTTACCTGGCAGTGTGTCATCCTTTATCTTATAATTCCTTATCAATATTGTTATTATTACTACTACTATTATTTACTTATTTTTAATTCATTTGTTTTCATCATTGTCTTTTTTTCCATCCTGTATTTCTTATGTCCGTGTTTGTGTGTTGTTAAAATGTTAAAAAAAACTGGTGTCAATATTTCTCTTTTTTAAATCTTTCAGGCTGGGTTTATAAGAAGTTTTGAGACTTTGCACTGATGTGTTTTGTGGTTGAAGAGGTATTTCACTGCTGGATAGATGGTCTATTCATAACTCATAAATGGGCTGTCTAGTAGAAACACGCACAAGGCGATTTTGAAACTAGTGCTGCATAACCAGAGAGCACAGAGGAAAGAGGTAGAAACCCTGCAACTACCAGAATGCACTGTGCTGCACCGGACCAATAAATGCTCCTGCTGGTGGATGACGTAATGTGAGCATGGTTGTTTTGACACAGGACACAATATGGCGGCCCACTGGTAACCGAGATATCTCGATCCGCTTTTACACTCTGTGTCCGTAGTGGCGGGCAGGGTGGGCATATGAAAATGCAAAAACACAATGTAGTTTGAGCCAGTGAAAATCCAAAGGATGATCTTGGTGCTGAGATGAAGGGAACATATACTACCCTAATTGTTATGATACGAAGCTGGCATGCATAACATTAGTTTATACATTTAGAAAAGAAGGTTATTAACAAACAAACTATAAATCAAACTCACAGCATTATCTTTAATTACAGATATCTGATCACTGATCCTATCCCGTCTTTACTTCATCACATTTTCTCCCCTGGTATTCTCTTTATTTTCTCCTCCTCCCTCTGTTCTGCCTCGTTATTCCTGTTCTCTAATGTTCTATATCAGCACTAAGCCTCTACCTCTCCCTCTAGAGCTCATGTCCCAGATATAAACCACCTCATCATGCTTGTTTCAACACTACTGGTGGTCTGTGTGTGTGTGTGTGTGTGTGTGCACCAGAGGATGTGTGTGTGTGTGTGTGTGTGTGTGTGTCTTACCTTTGTCACCACTCCAGACACAATCATAGGGGCCCTTGGTGGACTAAAACGGAGAACAAAAGAAAAAGAGGAGGAAATAATTAATTGAAAATTAACTGTAGAATTCAAAACAATACACAATTCAGTGAGCAGAGTGAGTCCAGTGCTTTAATCTGTATAATTTAATCATAGTATTTGTGCAGGCCAATGGTGCAGTGCACTGTATGGCAACGTGTACAGAAGTTTACCAATCTGGCTCCTTCAAAATCTCCAACAGTGACGCTGAAATTCAAACATCCCCAGTTGTCAAAACACATAACACCCACAGTCTTACTCTCTCTGGCTACACACACACACACACACACACACACACACACACACACACACACAGGATGGACCTGCCAGCAGCTTAAATAGCTCCCATTCATCCTGGCCAAACACTGGGGCTCACAGCTTCTGGATGGAAAGCATGAGAGGAGAGCAGGAGGGAGGTGGGAGAAAGCTGAGGCTATGAGAGGAAAAGAGAGTTAAAGAGGAGGATGGTGATAAAGGAAGGGATTTGGGAAGGAGGAAAAAGAAGTGGAAAGCAGGCGGACGAGTGGGTAAAAGGCAGGTCAGGGCAGGGAAGGAGTGGCGAGAGGCGAGAGGGCAGGGAGGACAGGGGAGCGAAATACCTATATAATAATAGACTGTTGGAGGAGAGAAGGATGGAGGAGAGAGGGAGGCGAGCGCTCACTCAGACATAGAGAAAACGAAGGGATGGAGGCAGAGAAAAAGATGAGGAGGAGGAATGCGGAACCCGAGGTAAGTATCGACCTTGACATGACAAACGAGCGCCGTCTAATTTTACGGCGTCGTCACCCCTCCGGCAAAAGAGTACAGTTGTGGTAGCCACCTTCAAAACTCCACTCAAAGACATTAGCTATAGCAGCAGGCATGTCCCAGCTTATGGCGTACCTCATTAACAGGATAAATATGTTGGAAGAAAAGTTTCTCACACAGGCTACAAACTGCTGCCTCAGCAGCGAGAATCGGCGCACTCGGGAAAACACACCATTTGAAACATCTGCTGCTTCCTTATTTATTTTATGATCCAACTTTTTTAACTGCGATCAATTAACAGTTGTGGGTTTCCAACACATCTGGCTAACCTCCGTCTCTGCAATCAACATCTTGGCTCTCAATAACCTCCTGCTACTTATCTTAATGAGAGTATTTACACCTTGCTTTTAAATTAATGTTTGGATTTGCTGAATTTTTACTGATTATTTCCTCGCTAGCCACTTGTCATAATGTGGGGCTGAGAGGCTCTCAATTAACTAGAATATGGCTTATTAGAGCCGCAAGTGTTCCTCATTCAAATGAATGCTCTGCTAGCTGTGAGCTGGCTTTGCTAGCTTTCGCTAACATTTGGCTTGAAAGTGGAGTTTTAACATTTTTAATGTTATCTGGGGAACAAATGGGGAATAAATGTGCAGATGGCAGGCGCCAGGTGAAAAGAGAAATTGTGGAAAATGCTAACGGAGATTCATTTTGTGGGTTTATGTGCAAGAGCCTGTCAGCTAAACTTCCATCTTAAACAGTCTGGCAGGGTGCCGCAGCAGACGTATCCGCTCTCATTACAAACACACGAAACTTAAATGAAAAAAGGCATGCTAGCATTATAAGATACCAGAGTTCCTCAGAGACAATTCCAAACACAAGTACACAAATCAGCTTCACTATAACTCGCAGCATTCACAGACAAACACTTGTCTTTATCTGGACACACTTCCCCCACAAATACAACATGCTAATGTTTTTAGCACAAGTCTATGGCATTTTACATTGTATAAATTAGCTTAGCAGTTAGCAGACATTACCATCACTTCCATGAAGCCAGGGACAACAGCAACATATAACAAAGGTAATGTTACAAAATTTGGCTCCATCACAACTCACAAGGTTCACTGACAAAACTGTCTTATACTAAACACGTTTTCCAAACAAATACAACATGCTAACGTTATTAGCACGAGCCTATGGCATTTTACATTGTATAAATTAGCCTAGCGACGAGCGAACATTTTCTCTGATCATATGAATCCAGAATCTAGTCTCTTATTCTAGTCTCTTAACAAGACTTAAAAAGCTATTTTGTGGAGGCTTTATTGTCCTCACAATTTATTGCTTATTATTTGTGAAATTAAAGTAAATAAAAGCTTTGTTTCCACTGAGGGAAATGGTTTCAGCTTACAGAAATAGATAGGAAGTCTGCGTCGTTGCAAGGTGTAATTATATTTCTGAGGAAATGCACATCGACGCACAGCCTATGCTGTAGGTACAGCGTCGATTTGACGCAGAAGTATAAATCCCACCTTAGCAGAGATGGGCCAAAGTCATTGTTTAGCAAGCCATCAGTAGTCCCAAGTCATAGACTTTGACTTTCAACTCCTACACAAGTCACAATGTGCTCTTCGCCAACTGTAAAATGCCATTTTAACAACAGATTAATAATATATTGAACTTATAAAAATCACAGATGCTTTGTAAAATTTGTACTTATTTGTTTGAAACAAGTTTGTTGGAAGTTGCTGACTGTAATTTTCGACCCGCACGGCATTAATTTTTTGTTGACTACTGCTTTATTTTTGTATGTGAACAAAATATCTTTGGTATTATTTCTTTCAGCTGGCACTAGGTAACATAACACAATTTCTTCATGGTTCTCTTGTGAGACTTGACTGGATGCACTCAAGTTCAAACAAAGTGGAGCATCTGGAGAATAAAGTTTCAGTTTGCTGGGTATAAACAACGTTACGTTAGTTGATTCAGGGAATGAAGGGGAAATGACTTTGTGGCATGCTTTTTAAAAAACATAGTTTGATCTTTTGGGCCTGGTTTCAAGTCAAAAGACTCAAGTCTGAGTGGAGTCACAAGTCCTTAGTGTCCAAATCCAAGTTGAGTTGCAAGTCTTTTTTGATTTAATACTGTTGAATCTACAGCCATCAAATTTGTGACTCCAGTTCACACCTCTGCTTGTTAGTGCTCAGCTGCCACAGACCCGTCAACCTGTCTTCCTGAAAGGCAAATGTAGAAAATTGCATTGAATGATGTGCCTCACAGGTAAAATATCTTCATAACAACATCACATGTTCTACATATGTATCTTGTGTCTTACACCATGCTGCAGGACACACAGCTCATATGTACAGTTGCTGCTTCAGTTTCAATTTCAGCTGAAGCCACAGTGAGACGAGACTCAGCAGGGCTGAGGTGCACAGGCACGCTCGTATTCACATACTGAGAGAGCGTGGGCTGACATTCACCTCACGCTGGGTTGTCACATGTCTTTATTCTATTGAATGTCGATCTCCATTGTGCAATCTGAAGGTAAATCCTGAAATATTGAAAACAGACTGCAAAGGGAGAGGAGGTATGGAAGAAATAACAAGGATGAAAGAAGAGAATATCGGCATTGCATTTGAAGCCTGTTAGCATCAAACTTTGCTCGTTGTTACTAGTATTGGGCGCGCAGGCTGGGGAGACAGAGGGCAGACAGATAAGACATGACAGACAGACAGGAGTGAGGGCTGTGAGCCTGTCAGAGAGACAGTTAACAAGCATCCGACTCCTTCAAAAGTGCACGAAAAAACTTGTTTAAAGTGAGACAGAGAGAAAGATGAGAGTGTAAACTTTTCACCTAACTGGCTGTTAAATACACAGACACTGTAGAGTCACATGTAGCAGACAGACAACAAGAATTTATTCTGTTTGCACAGTAAAATAGAAAGAGAAACTCAGGGAAGGGCACACAGAGAAAAGTGACAAAGATCTCTGCTGTAGTTTGGTGTGATTGGGAGGAGGGTATGGAGAGATGGAGGAGCCTGCAGGGGGCAGTAGAGAGCTGTAAGGAATCCTGAGGAGGAGTCGCTTTGTGCCAAGAGAGTTAGAAGAGGGAGAAAAAAAAAGACAGGGAGATACAGAATGCTAATTTTAACTAATAACTCAAAGAGTGCAATGTGCATTAATGCTGTGGTGTTTTCCTCTTTGTCTTCAGTTCTGCAGCCACACCTCACCACCACCACCACTAACACCACCACAACTACCCCACCCATTTCTCTTTGCTTCAGCAGAGCAGGAAGTTTGGTGCCGTGGGCGAGGTGGTGGTTGCCATAGAAACTGATGCCTGTTGCCTGTCTCCATTCCTCCTCCTTCTCCTCCTCCTCCTCCTCCTCCTCCTCCTCCTCCTCCTCCCTACCTCTCTCCCTCTCTCTCTTTCTCTCCTCGCAACTTCTCACCACGAGCTGTCAGCTTGCTTCACATTTCACAAGAGTTCCTACATTCGGTGCATGTGTGCAGCGATTTAGTCAAGCGTGCCCGCAGCACACGCCCGCTCTTTTTCTGAGGCGCCGGAACATATCCACCTCTCACCAAAACATGTAGGAGAGGTGACAGTGCAACCGACACGAGGCCTTGTGATCACCTTCCACGTAGTTTTTACACATGGAGCTGAAAGCGGATGTGCAAGCAGTTCATAAAACATATACTCACTTACGTGATGAAGCAACCATATGTTTGTGTGTTTACCTCCTTATACTATGTCTCCTTCTCCACTCCTCCTGCATCTCTAAGTCTCACTGCAACAGCATATTTTCAAACAGACGGAGAAACATGGATTTACCTGAATGCTCGGTAGATTTATTCCAGATGCATTTGAAGCACATTCACCTGACAGTCAGCAGGCAGGAAGCCTCTGCTGGGTCACCAGCTCGCTCTGGCTTATGCCTCCCCTTCGTGCCTGTATCTCACCCGAAGCCACCATCCTCCTATTACTCCCTCTCTTACTGAGTAAAACCTTTCCTTTTTCATATCTTCATATCATCCCTTGCTTTCCATACCATAATAATCCTCCCCCTCCTCCTCGCCATAATTCCGGCCACCTATCTCTCTCTCTTTGCCCCATCTGTCCATCTCGGCTAGATTGGGTACGGCAGGTGTTCCCCTGACTACAACGCTTCACTGGCTGCTGCTAATGTGAAATTTACCCAGTAGCCACCTGCTAGACGTCCATCAGCGTGACATGAAGAGGGACAGACAGAGTGCGCCGTGACTGAGGGAGTTTCAGCGACTGCATTCGCTGATGGAGTGCAGTTACTCAGCCTCTCTTTTTGGATGGGCTGACAGGTCATTTTTTAGGTAAAGATAAACATTTCGCAGGAGGGAAGGTAAACCTGCGTTCACACAGCCAGGCTGAGGGGAGTTTATCAAGCTAAAGGATTGAAATGGTATCCTTCAGTGATTAAAATGCACTGTTTGTCTAATTTATTTCCACAGCCAAAGTAATGATTTCTCTTCTTTGACTGGAAGCTCTAAAAGGAAATAAAGTGAGAAGAATAAATACTCAGGGGACTGTTCAACCCTGTGTGTCTCTGGTGAGACAAGAGGCCAGTTAGCACATGAGAGAGAAGAGTCAGAGATATGTAAACCCACAATGTTATATACTGACTTTACAAAGCAGACATTCAGCTGGCTCCTCTGCTAGTTATTAAAACACACTCATCATGTCTTCAAATAAGACTGCAATGCAAGTAATAAAGGTAATGATATAATTATAAAAACAGTGAGGAGTCATTTCTTTGGAATCTGAATGCACATTTGCTCCTGCTCTTTAGAATGACATCACCGCACAGGGGATTAACAATCAAGTATTAATTTAATTTAGAGCTCAACTGATCAGATGATTGACAGGAAATGTAACTTTTGGATAACCGATAACTGAGACAATCCCAGCCGGGGGGAGGAAGGGTCTGGTTTGGGGACCTCAGAACTGCATCTCTGCTTTTTGCAGATGATGTGGTTCTGTTGGCTTCATCACACCGTGACCTCCAGCAGGCACTGGGGTGGTTTGCAGCCGAGTGTGAAGCGGTCAGGATGAGAGTTAGCACCTCCAAATCTGAGGTCATGGTTCTTTGCCAGAAACCAGTGGATTGTCCCTCTGGGTTGGGAGAAAGTTACTGCTTCATGTGAGGGAGTTCAACTATCTCAGGGTCTTGTTCACGAGTGAGGGTAGAAGGGAGCGTGAGATGGATCGGGGCAGACCCAGAACACGCTGGATTTGGATTACATATCTCATCTGGCCTGGGAATGCCTCGGGGTCCCCCGTGGTTTTGCTGTGTTTCTCTATTGTAAACTGAAACTCTTTAGGTTTTGGACTGTCAGTCGGATAAAAGAAGGCACCGGGCTCGAGGATCTTTGAATGGCATTTTCATACATGTCATTACTTGCAAGATTAATTCATAAAGAAAAGACTGTTTAATTCTCAAAGATATGCAGTATTGCGCCATGTCCTGTGAAGCAACACAACAAAAATCAGGAAGTGCATATTTAAAAGACTGGAATGGTGGTTACACCCTGAACAGTGTCTGCTACAACTGTAGCGTTTCTCTCATTGTCTGAAGTGATCTCTTCCTCAAGCGAGCCTTCACCCTTGAGAAGTAAAAGCCAAGCTTGCATGTTGTTTTTCTACTTCTGTTATCTACTTGACCTCACTTTTCACCTTTATGCTCTGTCTATTACTGCCACTCAACTTGACACAGAGCAAAAGGAAATGACTTATTGCCACGGACAGGCTTGATTCTATTCCTGCTCTGAATTACAGGAAAATACTCGTCAACAGACACAAAGTGGGAGAAGCACATGTAATGTATATTTTAGTGTGAGTGTGTGTGTGTGTGTGTGTGTGTGTGTGTGAGGTTGCGTGTCTAAAGTACACGCACGCAGAATTTCTTGACAGTTGGCAATGTTCTTGAACCCTGCTCTCGGCTGTGCACTGCTCGTCAGTTCTCATTCATCACCTCTGATTAACGCGCACACAAACACACACGCACACACACACACTGATATGCGGTGTGAATATGCCACCTGTACCGATACTCATGAATACTGAGTAGACGTATGTGGGTGTAGAAGCAGACACACACAATTACGCTGGAAAAAAAGCAACAACTTGCACCACCCTGCAGAACGGAGTGACCTCAGTAGGAACAACGCATTCAAGCGGCAAAACCCGAACATGCTAATATGGAAACAGAACAATTATTGTCACTCAGAAAGAGAGCCGGCGTGATGTAAAACATGCAAACCGAGGCTGCTTATGGCAAACAATAGCGACTGCTGAATGGGCTGTTCAAGTTAATGCTGTAATTATGCAGTAATTATGTTGCTTACCAAATTAGTTGGCAACAGTACACAACAAGTCTGCAGCAGAATTGCCTACAGTGCAGCCTTATAGAAACGTGGAAGAGGCTAAATTGCTTAGTTGACAATTTGCAGGGTGCGTTTGTGTGTGTGGGTCTGATTAATAACGTACAAATCAAGGTCTCTCCATCTTACTGTAGAGAATCAGTTTTACCTCTGCAGTAAATGTATGTAGCTGCTTGTGTGTGTCTTTACTGAGCGCGTGGACAAATTATGAGACAATGGGCCCCTGGGCACGGACAACATGAGGTCTCCCTCACCTCTCCAATATAAGAGCAAGACATTCAGACTCAGAGACACACAAAACGACTATAAATGGCATGGCCACGACTTCTGTATTCATTTTGTATCTCCTCAGGGTCCTTCTGTTTCTCTTTGCAGTCCCCATGTTTCTCCTTGTAGTTGTTTTGTCTCTATTTGTGGTCATTGCATGTCTATCTGCAGTCGTTTTGTCTTTCTTTGTGGTCATTTTTACGGATTCCTCATGTGCCATGTGCCTGACGGACCGTGACCACAAAAAGTTACCCTGTGGTCACCAGATATCGCCTGTAGGTCGCCCCTTGAGTTTTCTCTAGTCTCTTTTGAGAATGAGATTTCCTGTCTAGCTTAAATGAGCGTTAAGGCCCATTTATACTCAACGTTAAATATGGATCCCGATACGGACGGAGCCTTCTGTCCGTGCTCCGCGTTCATTTCGTCCATATTTCTGCACATTTACATAAAGCTTACGGATACGGGCCAAACGGAGCAGTACCACCGGGAACCGTGGGGGCAGTGTTACCGTCACTACCCGATACGAAGCTCTAGTGAGACACGAAGAAGAAAAAACAATTCAATTTCTCTCATCTGCAGTACTAGAGAACAGAATTCTCCGTCCTCCAGTCGCAATGTATTTAACAGCCTCACCGACCACCGCCTCCTACAACGCTGCCCCTGTTTTTGTCTTTTATGCAAGAGGTACATTATCAATATCTCCTCCACAGTCGCCATGTTTGTTTTTGAGTTTGTTGTTGTCATAAACTTTTGACACTGGGCTGCCTCCTGGTGGATATATTGGTTAACATCCATGCCAACATAAAGGACACATGGAAGTATATGGGCAGTGACAGAAACATCGTTTGAAACGGACGTATACATTTTCGTACGTAAAGGGAGCATAAATGGGCCTTTAAATAACTAATAAATATCCCCATACTGCAAAGCCTTCGCCAGCACAACGTTACAGTCCCTGAAACATCTCGACTCATTCATGTTCAGTTTAACGTTCTACAGAAACAGTGAAAAGTACTTGTCGCCGGCTAGCAATGGATATGTGGCTAGCCGGTGACCGATTTGTTGCTAACCGTATGGGAAAGTATGGGTTTACTAAGCCTGCTTACACTGTTAACGTGATCCTTAGAGAAGACCCAGAAACAAAGCAGGTGAAGTGGCTAGAAAGGTACCCCTAGAAGTATGTAGAAGAGGTTTTGTACTGCTTTTTGTAATGTTTGTATAGCACATGTAAGGAGGGAGCCAGTGAGATATGAATGAGGCAAAGGTACAGGGTGGGGAGTAGACTGCAAACTATGAGACCAAAGAGAAAAAAAAGTATGATATGTTTACAAAGAACTTTCAATGTCTTTTCATTTATTGGTGTGTCACAGTTAAAGAAGGCTCTTTATTGTTTTGAAATGAGCTGACATTTGGGCCACCAAAAATGTACTTTGGCCTCCTAATTTAGGGGCCTGGTGGCCAATGCTAAAAAATGTTTTTGCATCTCACTGTCGTCCTTTGGTCTCTCTTTATGGTCATTACATGTGTCTTTATGGTCATTTTGGGTGAGTTCCAAATCACATGCTTTTTCTTTTTACTTTTAGTAGGTACTGCAGCTGCCCTTATAAAGTATGTACTGTTGCATGCTCTATGGGCACAAACAGGACACACTACTTTCTCATTACACACCCTGAGCTTTGATCCTCTTGCTTTTATATCCGTCACCTTGGAGATAAACAAACGGCACTCAGAGTTCGCCAGAGACGGAGATCAACCTGGAGAGCTCTGCTGTTGTTACTTTGCAATGTATGTAGTTTAACTTTAAAGCTAGAACTGCACAGATTGTAGATTCTAACATATATTTGCGACAGTGAAATTACATCTGCAGTGTCATTTTCATAGTTACGTCCTATTGTTGTTTGTAATATTTATGTTTATTTGGTCACTTAAACAACCAATCTGACGAACTACTGTTCGTCTGGTCATCAGTTACTTGAATGCGCTGTCATTTGTCACTGTGACATCTGACAGCTATTCAGCTGTCATCTGTTTGCCAGAAAAGCATGCTGGCTTAAAATCAGACCGGGTGTAGTAGAACATCCTGATATTTTTGGTATACTGCATTTGACACACCATGTTTCCGGACATACTAAATCTTTTTCAGGCACGCTGTATAGTATGGTAGTGTGGGTACTGGAACACACAGTTTGTCTCTCTTTACAACCACAGCCAGGGGCCTCCTCCCCCTCCTTGGGCCCCTGCCCTGTCGGCCTGTTCAGTTATCTCTCCATGACTGTATAGGTGTGTTACCTGCTGCTGACGTACTCCTCTTCATCCTCATCTTTCTGCGGTGGCTCGGGAGCAGCGGCCTGAGGGTGCTTCTGCACTATCCTCATACCTCCTGCTTTTACTGCAACACACACACACATATATATATGCATTTACTACCAGACGAACTGAGAAAGTTGGTTCAAGAGTTGAACACATAACTGTAAGCATGCATACATATACACATGGCTGCACACTTCCATACACACAATAAGTCTATCAACTGTCAGGAAAGGCCGATCTGTAAAGGTAAGTTTCCAGATACGATTTAAAGACGTGAACAGAGTCAGCTGATCTGATGCTCAGTGGGAACGTGTTCCAAAGCCGAGGAGCAAGAACTAAAAAGGCTCGATCACCCTTCGTCTTTAACTGGGACTCTGCAACAGTTCGAGGACCCAGACTAGCAGACCTGAGGGGCCTGTTTGGACGCTACGGTGTGAGAAGCTTATATACTCAAGTGCCAGATCATTAAGAGCTTTGAATGTGATTGAAAGAACTTTAAATGGACTCTAACAGAGACTGGAAGCCAACGCAGGGAGGCCAAGATAGGTGGGATGTGTGGGGATCCATTTGTTGGTGGCTGCAGGTGAGCAAGGCATTACAGTAATGGAGGCGGGCGGATATAAGAGCACGTATGATTTTCTCTGGGTTATTGGAGGACAGACGTGACCTACATTTGGAAATATTCTTCAGCTGGTGAAAACAAGACTGGACTACATTCTTTACATGTTGCTCCAGAGTCAAATTACTGTCTGGAATAACACACAGATTTTTTACACCTGATTTTATGCACGTAGCGAGGGGGCTGAATTTGTTTTGAGATACGTTCAGGGCCAATGATGAGAACGTGTGTTTTTTCAGAGTTAACTTATTGTCAGCTAATTAAGACCGTGAGAAACTACAAAGATCCCAGATACTGATATAAAACAGTACATTTAAGCCATATTGCATTTTGGTGGTTAAGTAAAAATAATGCTGTGTCTCAAATCGCATACTTCTGTACCAGACATGCCCTTGTTTTTCCTGAGAGGCCACTATGTTTGAATAGTTGTTGTATTATTGTGGATTTTTGTATTTTATGACGTATTTGTTGCATTTTAAATGGGTTTTAATTGGCTGCTGAAAGATTTTTGATCTCAATGGGACTTCCAAGTTTAATAAAAGTTAAAAATAAATCAATAAATAAAAATAAAAATAAGAGGCTGTACTTACCTCACAATGTACTGTATAAGACTTTAACTTAATAGTTAACATGAATGTGTGACCTCTATATTGATTAATTAGATCATGAGCACATGTTTAAGTTGCACAGCAGGTTAACGCAGGGAGATTATTCCCTCAATGGAAAGACCAAGTTAAGATGGCTGTGGTGGCGAGCAGCCATCCTGCCAATGTGCTCTTAAGTCCCTGAGGTGTTAGCAGCTGCAGGACAGCTGTCGTGCTCCTGACATTGACCTCTCACCTCACTACAGAGGGGCTGGTTACAGAAACTAAAATGTCAGTGCTCCTAACACACCTGTAAGTATGTTAAAGACTGAGTCGTGTGTCCTGAGGGCCTCCCACTAATCACAGGTTGGGTACGAGGGGCATTTCTTATCTCACTGTGCTATCAGGACTGCAGCTGCTGAGGCCCAGTGCCCTGCCACATTTCCCATGTCCACGTACGTGTTTCCCTCAGCCCACATCCACAGGACTGGAGCCTGTGACCTCCACGTCATCGACATGCAGCAGCAGATTACTGCAAGATAGCAACTAAACCTTTACATTACACCGCCGTCAATCGCTACAATAACACCAGATTTAATAATGTTGCAAGATCTGAGGCCAATCAGGAAGTGAGGAAATGTGCGAAACTGTGAAATATGGCAGATGCATGCAGTGTTGAAGGCTGAGACACGCAGCCAGTCGGAGGCATCTCCAAGTGTAGTGATTGCATAAGTATTAATCATCATCATGTGCTGTTTGGTTTGACACACAGCGGAAGCAAACAAAGGCCTTCATGTTTAGAGGAAGCTTTGACAAACAGCACAGCAGCAGCAGCAGCAGCATAAGGAGCTTTACCTGCAGGGGCATGTCCTCCTTTGGTTTCCACTTTCTCCTTCGGCGGCGACGACATGTCTGCACTGATGTGGAGTCTGCAGCGGAGAGGATCCGAGAGCGTCCGACAAACTAAATTCCTGCTTTATTCTGCCTCAAAATGTGGACTACACTTCAGCCTGGGACGTCAACGTGGCTTTTTCCTGAGTATTGTTTGGAAACGGTGCGTGATGACGTCATGCGGGACCGTCTGGAGCTGGAAGACGTAAGGAGCGCGATGACGTTGGACGTAGGCAGCGTCTGAATATGTGAAGGGAATTCATGTTAGGTTACAGTTATTAATATATTAATAAATGTATCCTCCTGTTTACAAGTGTGATGAGCAAGTATGGAGGATTATTCTTGCAATAGCAAAAAAAAAAAAAAATCTCTTCTAAGAATAAGAAATAAAAAAGATCTGGTAAAAATAAAATAAAACAAAACAAAACAAAATTAAATTATCGCAGCTAAAATAAAAGAAAAATAAGATCTGGCCAAAAAGAAGAAGAAGAACAAGAAAAATAACTAAATCATCTCTTCTACAATAAAAAAAAAAAAAAGATAAATAAAAAAATAAGATCTGGTCAAAAAATAAATAAATAGGCTGAATAAAAATATTTTTGATTAAAAAAATACAAAAAATATGAATATTTAAAGTTTTGGACTGATGTATACAACTTTAAAAATAAAAAAGAAACTTAAGATAAAAAAATAAGTGTGATGCAATACTATAGTATAGTCAAGATTAAATGAAAAATAACATGTTTATCATGCAATGTTTTATTATTTTTGGAAAAATTCCATATTCATATAAAAATCAGTCATAAACCAATCCGATTTTCCTGCACTTTATTAATAAACTTCAACAATATAACACCATCTTACTGCATGTTTAACAGTATGAAGTAAGATTTAATTTATCAATTATATGATGATTATAACACAAATTTTGGCATTATAAAATGTAAATTTATTTATTTTTGTTTGGTTTTCAGTTTTTGTCTTATTTAATTTTATTTCATTTTATTTTGTTGCCTATGTATCTCTTTGTATCTCTGTAGGCAAACTTGTGTGCAATAAAGAAAGTTGGTTAAAAAAAATCTGAATATGTGAATAATGTAGTTGAAATACTTTAATTGAAAAAGACAAAATAAAACAAAGCACTTGAGTTTATCAGTTAATAGCTGCACCCAGCAGTGAGCACAAATAGGGCTTATTAAAAAATAAATAGCAATCTATTTCAGTTTTCAGCTTATTATTATTCTTATATATATTTATTTAATTCTCATTTTTATTTTTGTGTGTAATTGCTGCTATATTCATTTAGTTTTCTCTATTCTGTTTATCCATCTGAATTGTTGTACTTGATCCCGTGTACTCATAATTGTTTTTACCACTTAACAGTGCCACTTGAAAAAGAAAATGAAAATATGATTGGGTCCACAAAGAAGCAATCAGCAGAGCCTGTATCGAGAAGTTAAGTGCTTTGTGACAGAAAATGACAAATTTAAAGATCCAATGAGCTCACAGGCTGACGTCTGACTTCAATATTATGCAACTGTTAATTGTGGGAGTAAATATTGTTGCCCTCCGATTGATAAATCATTTAAATCACAGCACATTAGAAAAGTTGAAAGCAACAACTTTAAGTGCCTGGTAGCTGTGCACCTACACAGCCTGTAAGACTGAAGCATTTATTCAGCTGAGACGTCTTCTAATGAAACAGCCAGTTTCCCTCTGTCACCTTAAAGCCTGCAGTCGTGCCAAAACAGCAGCAGCCGAAGCATCGGCAGGATGAGCAATAAAAGGCAAAAGAGACTATCCAGCAGAGAGAAAAAAGAAAGCTGTGTGACAGTGGTGACCTCTTTGACCACCTACTTTCTGTTTGCGCACCATAAGTCCACAGTGGTTCATTAATTGGCTGATGTGACAGCGTCCTTGGGCAGAGCTGAGAATTGCAGGCAAAGCCTCGAGGTGTTAGAGGCAACTGAGAAAAGTTTGATAAAAAAGGACAAAAAATGAAACTAAGGGTAATAGTTTCAAGGTATGCATGTGCCTCTGCTTCAGTTCATAGAAGACTGAGAGCACATAGGCAGAGTACCGTAAAGTATGGCCTATATGTGTGTGTTTCTGTGGTGGTGCAGCAGCTGTTCATTTATAGCTGTTTACACTGCAATGTGCATGTGCCTTATGTGATATGTATTAGGCGTAATTCATCTGATGAGTATATGCATACATTTACATGTGAGGTCATGAGATTACAGTGTGTGCTGTGTGTGTGTGTGCGTGTGTGTGTGCGTGTTTGTGTGTGTGTGTGAGTATGTGTGGTCACAGTGATGCGTGCAGACCAGGCGTCAACTCTATAATGGCTTAATTGCAGTGTGAAGTGGCAGCTGTGTGCTACACTCGGACCGTCAGAAGAAATCATGCCCGCTGCACTCACAGTCCACACACACACACACACACACACACACACAATTGCGCACACACCATTTTAAATTGAGTACATTTGAATTATTCATTGACATACACGACAAGAAAAAGATAAAGAATACAGATACATTCCAATAATTTAAAAGGCAGTGTTTGTAATGTCACCCCACACCCACAAGTTTACTGTGCAAGCACACACACACACACACACACACACACACACTGCTGATTACCAATGAGTTTTGGCAGTGGAGAGGTGGTCCCAGCTTTACATCTGTCCTCAAAGTTCAAGAGTGTGTTGCCAGGACATTAGTGTCCCTGAGGAGGGTGTTGACAACCAATCAAAAGGCCAGGAGTTCAATCCCAGGTCAGGAAGCAGTCTGCTGATAAAAAGGATGAATTCTGATGTCTAATTAAAATGTTTGGACTTTGTTAAGTCTTATTTAACAAGACAAGCTGAATGAGATGTCATTCTTACTGACAACAGTAGCCCAGGGGAGCATCCCTGGCACAGAGGGAGGACTGTGCACAGTCACAGCAACAGAGTTCCTGAATTATCAGAAATGTTATTGTCTCCCTCCCTCATGTAAAAAGGGTCGGTGCAATAAGCTAAGGCTTCAGCCTGCACCATTTCAGTCAGCTTAACTTGCTGTGGTTTGTCACGGATTCAAAAAGTAATGATTTAATATTGTGCCTTGTCAAAATCATAGGTCAAAATAAATCAAAACCTATATGACTGGACCATGTGGGAATTTAATATGAAAGGACAGACACAGGAAGTGGCCACGCTCACATTAATTTCCAGGGCTGGTACCTGCGGTTATTCCACAGGTTAGTTAATAACATGTCGGGCAGGAAATCCAAAGTGTGGGATCATTTTGAGAAGGTGAAAGACGAACCCAAGGTGATATGTAAACTCATCTTCATTGGTCGACTACTAGTCTCACTAACCAGACCTTTCTCAAGAAAAGAAAGGTCTGGCTGGGCCGACTCTCACCTTGAGATTGGAGAAAAAAACGCCCTGACTGCTGGTACTTCTTTCAACCAATCACAGTTGTTCTGGGCGGTGCCACAACAACGGTGCGCTTGCAAAAATATTGCCGGGGGGAAACAGGTTTTGGTGTAACACGCCCACAAAAATATCACCGACAGGACGTGAACCATGGCAGAAAAATGGCTACATCCCCGCAAAATCAAACACCGCAAAAGTTAGTAAAGGACGTGTTGAAAACGGTTGAAAACTGCTACACAACCGGAGGTGGTAGGGCGGGACTTCAGTGGGTGGCTCGTTCCGCCCAATAAGAGGCTGATCTATGCAGCGAACTTCCGCCCACTCAGACTAGTCGACTACAAACATGACGTATCATCTGAAACATGGAAGTAGCTACATGCCCATTAGCCCACAGCGTCATTAACAGGCGGCTTGCTCAGTGTGTGACGTGCACTTGTAGATAAAATATAGGCCCTGTTTATCACTACTATTACTTTTTTTCATTTGTATATTTGGTATAAGTTTGATAATGACCAAAATAAACTACTACTACTTCTAATTTGACCTCTGTGTATAAATCACATTTTGCTGACTGATATCTGGACTTCGAAGGAAAGAAAGTATTTGATATTTGATCTTTATAAAGTCAAAGGTGTCTTTAAAAAGTTTTACTTACCTCTTAGTAACAAATTTTGCAAGAGGCAATTTGGATGCTTCAGCAGTAATTAGATGATATGAATCCTTAATCAAAGGAACCCCCGGTGATTTAGCAGTGCCCTTCTATAAATCTGTTGGACTTGTAAGAGACGGACTTCCAGCAAAAAACAAACAAAAAAGAAACAGTCTAAATGAATGCACCAGAGGCCAAGCTACTTTTAGTCTCTATATAAGTCATGAGCCTACATTCCCCATAATGCAGCTTGACATCCTTTGTGACACCCTCCATGCTTGGTAAATGCTCACATCTTTCAAACTCAACATGTCAAGTTTTGTAACTAAAGCTTTCTAGTATAAATTCGTAGGCTCTTGTCTTTATTATTCAAATGCAATGATATTGATTTCAAATCTATCAACCAGCCCTGTGTGCACCAGTCACGTGTTTGTACGTGCCTATGTGGCTCATACACCCATGAATGCACGCATGTGCGTGTACATATGTGGCCACTAGATGGAAGAATGCAGCTTTACTACATCAGAGAAGCATCTCCAGTTGTGCATGTGGGCGTTTGTGTCCTACAGGATTCATCATCACTGTCACTCCAACAAAGCTCGGCCTGTGATGTCCCAGAAAAATTGAAGAGTCACTGATAGAAACTGCACAACTCCAAAGCAAAAGATACAGAGCTCCACATCCAGCTCGTTTTTTCCCTCCCTCTCACACTTTCTTTTTTTGTGTGTCACTCTCCCTCTACCCTTTTTTTCTGTTCTTCGCCTTTTCCCCTCACTCTCTCTCTCACACACACACACACACACACACACATGCAAAACTGAGAGAGAGGGAGAGCATTCATTACTCAGGGTGAAAATACATGGCACACATTCAAACTGCCATAGGTGAAATCCTCTTCAGAAGTCAGTGATCTCAACACCTGCCCATGGCTGATATGACTCTCTGTGTGTGTATGTGTGTGAGTGTGTGTGTGTGTGTGTGTGTGTGTGTGTGCGTGTGTGTTGCCTGGGCCTTTGAGAGGAGCACTCTCAGTGACGGCTTACAGAGAGACAGAATGAGGACGTCACAGGTGAGTGAATTTGCTCAAACTG